TAAATTAAAGATGAATCTTTATTAAAGTTACAAAAGCTATTCAATCAAGAGCAGTGAATGATTTCTTTGTTGTTGCTGTTTGATTAATATTAAGAAAGTGCTGTCACTTTAAGAGAATGCACTGATCCAGTGCACTGATACAGTACGTTCAGCCGGCTATGGCTGCTATAGGATACTTACCAAGACGGGCATTTTGAAATAATTTTTGTGTGAATTTGTCCATTTAAACACAATACTTCACCCTTTAATTAAAACTGAAACTAAACTATATAAAAACTAAATAAAAATGTTCACAAAATAAAAACTAAACTAAAACTAACAACAATATTAATGAAACTAATAAAAACTAAACTGAATTGTATAGCAAATTTGAAAACGATATTAAAATAAAACTAATTAAAAAATTCAAAACTATAATAACCTTGGTGCCGTCAAGCGTTGGCGAAATGAATTGTGGGTCCGTCGCGTCGTGTTGGGTCCGTTGCTCGCGGCAGAAGTTCAGCCAATCAGATCGCCTTATGCAAATACCCTAGCGCAGACACTAGCCAATCGCGTTCATGCAACACCAGAAGACTAATGTGATTGGCTGTTGTCACTATGACGGTCGTCAGCACCAAGCTTCAGAAACGCCCTCCGTCAAGCGTTAACGTTAATGTGTGAATGGGGCGTAATATACAAACAAACACACTTGTCTGTCACTGCGCAGGGCTTAGCAATATAGCTTGAAAGGGTCATTAAATGGAGTTGGAGAATCAAAATGTTTGTGATAATTACACATAGAAGAGATTACTCTACAATAAAAACAATTATCAAAACTCTAACTCCTCAGTTTAAAATATAAATGATCATTTTCTACCCTTCTGAAACACCTGGATTTGAAATCCAAATGCGTCATCGTCGTATGCAATGAGATGTGTTCTGTTGTTAGGTTAGTCTGTCGTTTAAGTTATGTTAGGCTTTTTGGTGCAAAAAAAAAACTTTTTGCAAATTTTATAAACAAACTTTGAGAAACATAATATAAAAATCTGAAACTGCATTTCATGACCATCATGACCTGTGATCGGTGTAATATGTCAGGGCTCATGTACAGACGTTCTTTGTCACAAAGTGGTTTACTGCCATTCGTTTGTAATTTGTTATTTTGTTTTCAGAATTGTGATTTGCTTTGCACTTCTCGGCCACCGTAATTTATGCATTAGTGAATCAAGCCAGTGACTAAACGAATAACTTCACACTGTTCATATTAGTAGTGTGAAAACCATGTTATCTATATCATGATACTTTTTATTGTGGGAAAAAAAGTCAAGCACATATCAGAAAATATTATAAAACATTCTTTAAAAAAAAAAAAAAATTAACCCTTTTACAAAAATGTCTCAATATAGTTCAGCTTTCTGACAATATTTGAAATTTGAATATTTGAACTAATATTTGAAAACAGCAATTGTGCAGTTTTAAAACTAAGCTGTTCAAAAATAAAAAAAAACAACAACAATGTATTTTTGAATAAACTGCATTTTGCAACTGCATTCAACATTCAACAACTTAAAGCCAATCAGAACATTTTCAGACAGACTATGGTATAATCAAAAATATATTCTCTGAAAACAAGTCTCAAGATCTTGAGACAATATAGCTAATTTACATATTTAACGGGAAAACAAAAACACTTAGAAACACCAAGAATCCATTTTTAGCAAAGTATTCATTCATCCCAATATATAACATTTAGCTTCGGTCCTCTAATTTTACTTGACAAATGGCATCCCGAGAAATCGGATTTTTCTGTAACAGCGCCAGATTTGTCACCTTTAGTATCACTCTACTCAATCCTGCTTTGGCTTCTTTTAGAACCACTTTTATTGGCAAAAAGAAATAGCCTAACTGTAGTGTTTTTTACATTTTAATTACACGTTAAATTCTGGTTCATACTACAAAACGTTGTATAAATATAGTACTAAAATGGATTTGTGGAAATGAATCACTTCTAAACTCTATTGCCATAATTGGTAATTGAGTTTAAACCAAAGGCAGCACATCCTCAAAAATACTGAAAGACTTTAGGAGACTTTTTGAACAAATAAAAAGGGCATTCAAATCACTACAATGTCAATGCTGCTCAGGGTTATTATCTAAAAACATCTGAAATAAAGCTGCAATACAAATATTAGATGAAAAACTAACCGACCATTAAAAAAAAAAAAAAAGGTAATTTGAAGCCCTACAATAACTAACTGGAAATAAAACTAAAATAAAAATAATGTAAAACGGGGATGAAGACGACAACTCCCATGATTCCACACTCAGTCACGGCGCCATCAAACTACGCCTTTGTTTCTTTGTTTGTTTTGAATACGCGCCCTCTAGTGGCAAAAAATTACATATTGTGCCTTTAACTAATGTACACTCTAGCACTGATGTGTCACAAGGCAGAACATACTCATAGAAAAACCCCTAGAGAATTTCCACAGGTGATCATATCCTGCAGAAGTTTAAATACCTCTCACTTGGATGGTTTCCTTAATTACAACACCAGTTCTGAACATTTGTTTAAGAGCAAGATCTCAACTCAAAG